ATATATTTTAGTATATAAATTGCAAAATAGTGTAACAGATCATTAATTTACTCAATTGTTAAAAATAAGAAAAAAATTTTTTATCAAGTTAAATGTGTACTTTCTCGGATTGTATTCTTTGTTTTTAATTTAAAGTTTAAAGAAATAAAATTAAGTCATTTACTTTGCATTTGCATACTTTAAATATCATATTTGTAAGAATAAATTTGCAACAATTTTAGTAAATAATTATAATATAATAAGAAAATCTTAATAGATCAAAGAAAAATAAATAGCATCTATGAACAACATAAAAAAATATTATATTAATTTAGACATTAATATTTTATTAATTAATTACATTTTGTTAAATTTCATTATTTATTCGTTAAAGGGTTTATATTATGCTGTCAATAATTAAAACAAAGTTCTACACAGAAATTTTTGTAAAGTCGATATCTTAAGGCTCGGCTCTCTCGATTAGCCAATTCGGTTTTATAAAAGTATAGATATGGCGGGCTGGCTCGAGAGAGCCGAATCTTAATTCTCATGTAAAAACTTGTACATGTAATTATTATTTCGATGTAATTATAATATTTGTAAAAAGAAATGTAAATTAATTAAATTGTTTGCGTAAATTATGTTATTTATAAGTCCATTTGTGAATGCATGAAAGTAAGTTCTGATAAAGTAAATTTAATATAAATTTTTAATAGTTGAACACATAAATTGTAAATTATATCATTTAATTATTATTATGTTATCTTGAATTAAAAATGTTATAATTTTTGTAAATTTCTTTACAGATTTACATTTCAAAAATAAATACTATATACATATATATTATAGGATCTTGATTTTGTGTAAAACTTATATTTGTTCGATAACTTTTATTGTATAAAATAGGTAGTACGTATGTACGTGTTTGAAGATAGCGTAATATAAAAATTTATTATTTACATATTGTTATTCTTGTATTATTAAGAAGTGACAATATCTTTTAGTCTCCGTGAATATATACATATATTCAGAGACATTTCATAAAATTGTTGACGTCTATTTTTAGAAATGTATGACTGTTATATAAATAAAATATTTTATTATAACAAAAACAATAATCATAATATTCTTCAACTTTTTTAAAGTAAAACAATTTTCTCCAAATTAAAACGAAAGATACAAAACAATATAAGCAATATTAATAAAAATATCACGATACTGAAAATAAAGCATTATATTTTCATTAAAATGTAAATTATATAATATGTTCTTTTATAATAATATAATACAAATATAATAAAAAAGTTTTCAATTTATTTAATTTATTACAAATTTTTTATATTTATAATCCCAATAAACAATTTTTAATAATAATTTATCAGTTATTTAAAAAAATAATATATTCTTTCATTGCCAAAATTTATAATTGAGGGTTATATAGATGTATTTGCGAGTTACGCAAAGTTCATTTTAGAAAAAAAATTGTCTTTAATTTTTTGACAAGTGAATTTTTACAAGTATTGTCGTTATTATAATTATTTTGATGTATAGTATATTTCAACATTTGACGAAGTTTTTGGAAAATTTTTGTATAAATAAAAGAACAATTAATAAAGCAATCTTATCGGTTTGACACGCGCCATTGAGATTTTGTTAATTGTATATTCAAATATATTTAAAACATATTATAGATAATTGTATATTTTTCATCATAAAAAACATAAATTAATGTGTCTTATTTAAAAAACTTCTATTTCTATTAAAAAAATGTTAAAGTTTTTAATTTATTGACATACACAATATACATATATCATAATGTATAAATAATTACTAATTGTAAGTATACTTTATATCAAATAAATTAAATAAATATTTAAATATATATAAAACTAAAACTGTCAAATTTTATCAATATTTATTATTGGTGCGTTATTTTCTAAAAAAAGATTATATTAAAGATTACAATAAGTAGAATTAAAAATTACATTTTATCTTAATATCTTACATTTTGGTCACCCGATATATTGTTTGAAATAACTTGATTTCTGCGCAGTCTCCTGTTCAGTGATACTCATTGTAACTTTTGTATTATTTTTAATGTAATATGTATACACATTTTTGAATACTTTTTACAGTAATGTTAACTTTTTAATTATGTTTCGATTATATAAAAAAAAAAATCATTAATTTTCTAAAGCATTTTATATTTTTTCTGTCCTGTTAAGTAATAAATAAAAATATAACTAATAAAATAAATAATTTAAACAGAACATTACATTTTATAAAATAATTAATATAAATTACGTTATATATTTATACAATTTTTAGAATATATAAAATGTAATAAAACAAAAAGAATGTATAACTTTTACTTTTAACAGTTAGTTTTACAATTTTTTCATACTTTTTATAATACCATTTCCTTCAATCTAATTGTTTTATTGGGAAAATAATATCTTTTATTATCTTTGAATTAAAAATTATTATTTTAATGTCATTAACCATTTCTGTGCAGTTAATGTATTGACTACCATTTCATTTCTGTTTGAGAACCTTCATGTAACAGCCTTGTTGATATTTCTCGTACTCCTCCCAGCGACAGTCGCAGTTATTCCGATATCGCAGACTGCTACTGACATATTTGTTATAACTCAAAAGGAATACCAATATAACATCAAGAATATTAGTGATAAATAGCAATCATCATTACGGTACTATTACGTGACATTGTTATATTGTGATAAAAATACATCATAGCAATAATTATCAAGAGTGGAATTTTTCCAATAACGTGTTGACGTAGAGGTACAGCTGATGCATACGCATGCGTAAATTAGAATTATAAATTTGAATTTATTAAATTATTCTCTTGAAATTATTCATATTTCTCTTATTTGAAGCATTATCTGATCAATATTTTATTAATGCAAATAAATACAAAAATATCATGTTAGGATTGAAAGAAATTTTCGAATTGTGTTATCAGATAATTAAATCCTCTCATACGTAAGCAATATTAGTTAGTTTCTTATCAGAAGAGCTATATTAACTTATATCAATGTTATCTATTTTTACCAATTTGTACGGTCTACTATTATACATTTTGTGCAAATAAAACGTAACATATGCCTTTAAATTTAACAAAACTTAAATTAAAAACTAATTATTATATTTATTATATTACTGTACTATTTATTATATACTACTCTATTATGTTTATTATAATAATTATTAGTTATGTGTAATTATTATAACATTTTATTATATATTATAATAAAAATAACACTATTCTACAATATTGCTTTATATAAAATTTGAATTAAAAATAATAATAAATATAAAAAGATAATGTTTACAAATATTTCATACAAATATTTCATTCAAAGTTGAAGAATTACATTCTGATGCAGTATAATACATTAAATTTCTTTTTTTAATAGTTTTACCCACGACCGATATAATGGGAGACGATAAATTCCAATTTTCTATAGATCGTGGAGGCACGTTCACTGATATATATGCTAGATGCCCTGGAGGCAAGATTCGAGTTATGAAATTACTTTCGGTAGATCCTAGTAATTATAATGATGCGCCGACAGAAGGTATCCGCAGGATACTAGCAGAGGTACGTTAAAAATAATTAAAATTTGTTTAAAGACAATTTCCAATTTTTACACATTTTAAAACTTATCAATAAAAAAATGTTACAATCTTTTTGTTTATTATTTATTAATAGTTTGCTGATTAACAGTTTGCAAATATGTAATTTGTAAAACTAAAATAAGTGAAGTTGTAATTTAAACTTATATAAAAGTTATATAAAAATTATATAAAAATATAAAATTATATAAGTTATATATATTAAAGTTATATAAAATTATGTAAAAATATAAAGTTATATAAAGGTATATAAAGTTATATAAAAATTGTTAAAAAAATTATAAGTTAAGATATAGATAATATTCAATTTTATTTTATAAAACAGTAATTAAATATATAAAATATCTTACAAAATTGTTAAATTTAATTTTAAAATATTTTATACATTTTACAATTTTTCTTATTAATTTTAGGAAACTGGCATTAAAATGAATGGCATAGTGAATAGTTCTAATATTGGATGGATCAGGATGGGAACGACTGTTGCTACTAATGCATTGTTGGAAAGAAAAGGCGCGAAAATGGCATTGTTGATAAACGAAGGTTTTGAGGATCTTTTGTACATCGGTAATCAGTCCCGACCAAATATTTTCGATTTGGTTCGTATAATTAATAATTAAATTTAATAGATTTAATATTTAAAATAATGTAGCAAGAACTTTATCTATATATAATTTTAATAAAATTTATAGTGTAGTAATATTTATAGTTGCATTATTTTATCTCTTTAAATAATTTTTTTTTAAATATTTACAGGAAATAGTGATGCCACAAGTTTTGTACAAATATGTAATAGAAGTGAAATGTAGAGTAATTCCCGCTCTTTCGGGAAGTTGTCAAATGGAGAATCGATCGTGGCGAAGAGTGAAAGGTTCTACTGGCGAGGATCTATTTATTATTCAAGAACTCGACGAAATACAATTGAAAGAAGATTTAAAGAAACTTCGTGATCTGAGAATAGATAGTCTTGCTGTTGTTTTAGCACATAGCTATACGTTAGTAAACATATGTACTTGAGCAAAAATTTTTTTGTAACTGACAACTTTTTAAAATAGTTTTCAAATTTTCACGATACTTAATTTATTTCAACTATAATTATATGCTCTTATTTTTTTTTACAATATAGTCATGCAGCTCATGAAATCAGAGTTGGCGAGTTAGCACGGGAAGCAGGTTTCTCGCAAATATCTCTTTCACATGAAGTAATGCCAATGATAAGAATGGTGTCCAGAGGTTTTACAGCCTGTGCTGATGCTTATTTAACGCCACATAATTAAAATTATCTACGGTATTAAATTTTTACGTAATTTTAACTTTACTCTCTCTCTCCTCCTCTCTCTCTCTCTCTCTCTCTCTTTCTCTCCTTTCTTTTAAAATAATAATTATATTTAAAATATGCTTTTCTATTTTTAAATTATAACAAATAACTTTTTAGGCCTTCTCTTCCGGATTTAAAAACAATTTGAAGAACGTGAACGTATTATTTATGCAAAGTGATGGCGGATTAACACCTATGGATTCGTAATTATTAAAATCTATTTTTGAAAATTATTCTGAAAAAATTTTTGTATTGCATAAAAGTAAACAAAATTGTTTTTATGGGTATATTAAAGTTTTAATGGGTCACGTGCTATACTTTCTGGACCAGCTGGTGGTGTCGTTGGATACGCAATGACGACTTATGGAAAAGAAACTGATCTACCAGTAATTGGGTTTGATATGGGCGGTACATCTACAGATGTAAGTCGATATGGAGGAAGTTATGAGCACATTTACGAGAGCACTACAGCAGGCGTCGCTATACAGGCTCCACAGGTATCATTTCTTTAAAATAATTATTCCTGTAAATAGTACGATATTGAAAATCTTATTATTTTCTTTTTTAACAATATCAGTTGAAATTATGGCTTTAAGTTAAGAGCATATTTTATTTAAATAAAAATTGCATTATAGTTGGACATTAATACAGTGGCGGCAGGAGGCGGATCGATGCTTTTCTTCAGATCTGGTCTTTTCCAAGTTGGACCTGAGAGCGCGGGAGCCCATCCTGGACCAGCATGTTACAAAAAGGATGGCCCACTGACAGTGACGGATGCAAATCTTGCTTTAGGTCGTTTGCTGCCCGAATATTTTCCTCAAATTTTTGGGCCTAATGAAAATGAACCGCTTGATGTATCTCGCACATTGAGTATGTTCACAGCACTCACTTATGAGGTAATCTTTTTATATATACGAAAATATTTTTATATATAAAAAATATTTATATTCTAATATTTATATTCTAATAAAATATTTATATTCTAATTTCTATTTTCATAAAACGACTGTATATGTCATAGATCAATGAATTTCTGAAAAAAGATGAAGCAATGTCAATTGATGAAGTAGCAATGGGATTCATCAGAGTTGCGAATGAGACTATGTGCCGACCAATTCGTGCTTTGACTCAGGTATAATTAAATCCTCCTTTTGAACAATGTCTGTTTTTCGTGTAATACAATTGCATTATTGTTAACATGGTCCTAAATTATTTCTTGTTCTTGAAATAGGCAAAGGGTTACGATACTTCACGTCACGTTTTGGCATGTTTCGGCGGTGCCGGAGGTCAACATGCTTGTGCAATCGCTCGATCATTGGGCATAAGTACAGTTTTTATTCACAAGTACGCTGGTATCCTGTCAGCTTATGGAATGGCATTGGCAGACGTTGTTGAAGAAGCACAAGAACCAAGCGCTGAATCTTATGAACAGGGTAATTTATAATAAAAAAATTATTTTTAATTACACAGTAATAATTCTTTACGTATTTTTTCATTTACAGAAAGCTTTGCTCACTTGGATGATCGTCTGGACGCATTGGAAGCCAAAGTCAAAAGTAAACTTCGTGCACAAGGATTTGTTGATTCTCAAATAAAAACGGAATCATTTTTACACTTACGTTATGAGGGTACTGATTGTGCTTTAATGTGCACTCCTATAAATCAAAATTCAAAGATTATTACTACTAGACACGGTGATTTTCTTGCTACTTTTCTAGAAAGGTAAGCATTTGATTTAAAGAAATTTTCTTCAAAATTATTTACAATTTTTCTTAATTAAGATATAAGACAGAATTTGGTTTTACGATACCGGAACGTAAAATTCTCGTCAATGATATGAGAGTTCGAGGAATAGGAAAAACTGAAATTCCCGAAGATCCCATATTACCTCATTCACAAGTTTCGCCAAAAGTTGAAAAGGTTAGATAATGACAAACTATAAATCTAGTAATATCTTATATAATTATTAAATTATATTTTACATCTAAATTGAATTAAATTTTTCAAATTAATTGTTAAATCTTATTGCTAATCAAGAAAAGTTTAAAAATATATATTATAAATATATATTATAAATTTTCTAGACCACTATGGTGTATTTCGAAGGTGGTTATCAGGAAACAGGCGTCTATCAATTAAATTCACTGTCACCAGGACATGTTTTACATGGTCCCGTAATTATTATGGATAGTTTAAGCACACTTTTAGTGGAACCAGATTGTGTAGCGGAAATCACTTGTCGCGGGGATGTAAAAATTACGATTGGACAAGGACAACGAACAAAAGTCACTACTGATCTCGATAGTATTCAATTGAGTATCTTTTCGCATCGTTTTATGAGCATTGCTGAACAAATGGGTCGGTATGTATATCTAGAAATAACAGTAAAATAATTTTTTAAGTAATTATTCTTTTAGTGCCTTTATGTAAAAATTGCGAGACAGTATCTACATTTTCAATTTTTGACAGAGTACTTCAAAGAACTTCGATTTCTACTAATATTAAAGAACGACTGGATTTCTCATGTGCGATTTTTGGTCCTGACGGTGGCCTTGTTTCAAACGCGCCTCATATTCCTGTACATTTGGGCGCCATGCAAGAAACTGTACAATACCAGATGAAAGCATTTAATGGCAAATTTACGCCAGGAGATGTCATTCTTTCTAATCATCCATCGGCAGGCGGTTCCCATCTACCAGATTTAACAGTCATTACGCCAGTATTTTACAGGTTCTATACATCCTTTGTTTTACACGTTCAAAAATCTTTTGAGAAATGTTATACAAGAATCATATTAGGTACAATACTCTAATAAACAAAGAAATATTAACATTATATTTCAAAATTAAATTTTTTAACTTTTTCTTTTATTTTCTACAACATTGAATAATTATTTTGATATAAATTTTGTATGTACACTAGAAATGTGCCCACACCAGTATTCTTCGTGGCTAGTAGAGGTCATCATGCTGATATTGGTGGTATTACACCAGGCTCCATGCCACCACATTCAACAAGTCTGAGTCAGGTATAAAAATAACGATTTCTAAATAAATTTTGAGTAAAATTTTGAAAATTGTAAGTACAAAGATAATATTTTTTTTATAGGAAGGCGCTGTCTTTAAAAGTTTTCTATTAGTACATAAAGGAATATTCCGAGAGAAAGAATTAACTGATGCTTTGATGGCTCCAGGTAAAATACCTGGAAGTTCAGGAACCAGAAATCTGTCGAACAATATTAGCGATCTAAAAGCTCAAATCGCTGCAAATCAAAAAGTAACGTTTTTATTTAATTTATATAATATTTATATAAGTGGAATATACATATTTGTAAAGTAAATAAAGACTTTATTTTAAAACAAATTATCAGAAAATTTTTACTAAAAGATTTAGAACATAAAAATTGTTTCTTTTCTACAAGGGCTTCCAATTAGTAAATGAATTAATTGATATATACAGTCTTGAAGTAGTTCAAGCGTATATGGATTATATCCAATGCAATGCCGAGGTTGCTGTTCGAGAAATGTTGAAATCGATAAGTACAAGAATTAAAATGCAAAGAGGCACAAAAATCGACATCGATGCCATTGATTATCTTGATAATGGCAGTCCCATCAAGTTACATGTGGATTTGGATATAAACAAGGGTGAAGCAATTTTTGATTTTAGGTATGCTTTTATATATAATAAATATTTATTAATATCTATATAATAAATTTTGCTTTCAATATTAAATATTGATTATTTCCATTTTGTTGCTTTTCTTTACAATGATATTTTTCTAATCTCTAAATGATAAAAAATTCTGTATTTTTTAATAATTTTGTACATATACATAATTATAATAATTTATAAAAAAATATTTCAAGATAATATCTAAATTTACAGTGGAACAGGTTGTGAAGTATGGGGTAATTGTAACGCGCCACGTGCCATAACTTTGTCTGCAATAATTTATTGTTTGAGATGTATGGTTGGTCAAGACATACCATTAAATCAGGTAATATCGAAGCCCCTTGAATATTTTAAGAAAATATAACAATAAATTCGGTATTCATTCTGTTTCTGTAGGGTTGTTTAAAGCCTGTAAAAATAATTATTCCTAAAGGATCATTACTCGATCCTTCAGAAGATGCGGCGGTGGTGGGTGGCAATGTCTTGACATCTCAACGTATTGTTGATGTAATCTTGTCTGCTTTCGAAATTTGCGCAGCCTCGCAAGGTTGTATGAACAACGTAACCCTCGGCACCGAGCAGTGGGGTTATTACGAAACAGTTGCTGGTGGAAGTGGGGCAGTAAGAAAAAGAGATTATTATATAAGCCTTGGATGATATATATTTGAGTCGTAAATAAGTTGTCATTAATAAATCACATTCAAATAATTAATTATGAAAATAACAAATTATTAGTATTATAACTAATTGGAAAAAATTTATTAAAGATTTATTTATTATTAGAAAATATAAAATTATTATTAAGAAAACTTGTTTAAATTATAAAAGTTAATGTAAAAGAAAAATATATAATGTTCTGCATTCTATTTTAGTTGAGCGATACATGTAATATATATTTCTTTAACAAATGTGTTTTTGTGTTTCTTCAGGGACCCACATGGCACGGTAGAAGTGCAATTCACACGCATATGACCAATACGAGAATCACAGATCCAGAAATACTCGAGCTTCGCTATCCAATTATACTTAACCGCTTTTCTATTCGATCTGGAAGCGGTGGTAATGGAGCATATATTGGTGGCAATGGCATTGTGCGTGAAATGATATTTAGGTGATTAAATATTATTATAGTCCAAATTTATGTATGTACATATTATCATCTGCTATATATTTTTTTCTAAAATTTTTCTATGTTTAAAAAGATATATTTTTTGCAAATAATAAAAAATAACTGTCAGCAAAAACTTATTTTATTTATAAATTTTTAAAATATTTGTTTACAGGGCTCCAATGACCCTATCTGTATTAACTGAACGGAGAGTATATCATCCACCTGGTTATGATGGTGGTGAGGATGGAGCATGTGGTTTAAATATTTTGGTGCGGGCTGATGGCAGACGGATCAATTTAGGCCCAAAGGCTGCTGTTCCAGTTTATACAGGAGTAAGTAATTTTAAATAACATCTTTTGCAGAAAAACGAGTTAATATATCTTATCTCTTTATTAAAAAATAAATAAATTGGAGGATATCACAATTTATATTATTTCATCACAAATATATTATGTTAATAAATTTCAAGTATTTTAAAATTTAAATTACATTAATATATACCGCGAAAAGAGTAAATTTTATAATTAAATAAAAAAATAATATCAAGTTTTGTTTAATGGCTAATATAAACTGTAAATGCTTTTTGAGTAAAAGTAAAATAAAACATCTTATTTCCGTAAATGATATTAATTTTGCAAATAAATAATAATAAATTAACATCTGTTTTGTCTGGAGAAAAAATAATAAAATTTAAAATTACGTAATCAAACTTAAAAGATAGACAGAAATGAAAATAAAATAATGAAGAATTTTTTTATGGTTTATGTCGGCTCGTAAAACCATATTCTGCTAAGATAGACTCAGTTGTATGCCAGGCTGTGTTCATAGCCGCGCAGTAAGAGATAAAGTAATTTCTTTTGTTACGAGTATTACTGGATAATAATCGCGTTTTAAGTCAATTTAAGAAAAAGCTTCATGGATATTTAAAATTTTTGGAGCATAAATGAAGAAGCTTTTATGTATTAATATTTTGCATCCATTTGTTCTTTATAATAAAAATTTTATATAGAAATAAATATATAATAATAATAACATATATTACGATTTTTTAATATTTTTATTTTTCTTAAAATTTAATAACGTTTATCGTATTGTATCTGAATCATGTTTTTGCGTTTTTATAGATTGTAGTCTATAATTCTTCCAATTCTTCTTAATTTTTGCAAGTTTTTCTTCTTATCTAATTAAAAGAAACGTAGTTTTGTATATTTAAAAACACCTACACTACCTAATCTTTATAATATGTATGCGTTTGTGTTCTCAAGCAAGATAAAAGAATATGAGATGGATCAAACAAAAAATGGATATACCAGTAATAAAGAGAGAGTGTTGAAAATTGCATGATTTTACATGTCAACACGTAAAATATCTTTTCACATTTATCAGAGAGTCGGTGCAGATTCATCAGCGTTTCCGAATATTTCAATAATAGTTAGCGTCGTCGAAAAAAGATGGCCATTACCATACAAGTGTATATACCATAGAATTTGTTGGTATCTTTTCCTCTTTCATTAGTACCATGTTTCCTTTTAGAGTTCACTTGTCGGACTTTTCATGTAACCTACCTACGACGAATGAAATAAATGTCAGCGAGAACATTTTTTTCTTTTTTTCGCAAGTAAAATAATAATTTTTTACTTGATAGAGTTTTTTTCACGAAAATATATACATTAGTAATTTATATATTTTTATTAAAGTATATATATATATAAATGGGCAATAATAAATATAATTTAATACATATATATTTTTTTAAATAAATAAAAAAAGAAATTGATATCCATATATAAATTTATCTAATTTATAATATTAAAATTATTGTAGCTAAAATAAGTTCTTTATTTATGAAAATATCTAAATTGATTGATATTCTAAATTGAAATTTATCAAAATTGTTACAATATAACAATTTATATAACAATTACTATTTATGTCATTAAGCAATATTTACATTACAATCTTTATATTAATTACTATGTTTTAAAAAGTGATAAGTTTCGCAATCAAGTAATAAACGTGTCTACATAATTGCCTTTGCTTTTTTTATATACATGATAATTTTTGAAGACTATGTATGCAAATACGATTGACATATTTTGCTTCTATACCGTGTGATTTGGGCTATAAATCTCGATTAATATGCGATTTGATTTTATGGCAAAAGCGAATGTAATTTTCCAAAAATTTTGATGATGTTATTTTGTGGCATGGTATTGCTTCGAAGTTTTGATGGAATAGCTTGCAGTGATTTGGTCAAAAGTTGCGATGCATATAGCCGCACGCACGTACAAAAACTCATAGCAGCATAGCGTGACCACTCTTCGTGGTTGTTACTTCCTCACTGCATTTAATAATTATAAACTTAAGCAGTTTAATAATAATTTAAGTCAGCGATTATCTAAAATACCGTATACATTTTTATAATCGTTGAACTATATTAAATATTAAATATAAGAGAATATGAAATTTATAAACAATTATGACAATTATGATAAAATGTATCTTTTATACTTATAATAATTTTTAATAAGCAATGATAGTGCAAAAATAATATAAGTTAGAAATAATTATTTATATTTTATATTTATACATACATTTTACATATTCATAGATGCGCGCGCGCGCGCGCGCGCGCACACACACACACACACACACACACACACACACACACACACACACACACACACACACTACATTTTAATTTTCAAAACGTAATTAAAATTATTTTAAAAAAATGATAAAACATGCTAATTACGTAAAAAAATTAATTATATTAAAATAAAGACGTATAATCTTTTAAGATATAAATTTCTTTCTTGGTATAACTATGATATAGTATGATATTTTCATCACTACAACTTAATAATATGCAATTATTGTTATAAAAGTTAGCTAACAATTTCTCATTAAGTTTTCTTTACAGGATAAGTTCGTTATGGAAACTCCAGGTGGTGGTGGTTACGGTTCCGTTCATAAAAAGAGGCATACTGAAAAATCTTCGAAAAGTCATGATTCTCAATGTTTAACAACAAGATTTGCATCAAACTCAAACAGAAATCTGCACTATTTTATGGAACGCGGAAGTGTTTTTGAATATCGTATGGTTCAAGAATCCGTTTAAAGTGATTTATCATCACTTAAATTTGATAAATTATAATATGGAAGATATTCTAGAAAGAACAAACATGTGTATATTATAATATTGAACTCATGTTACATTATCATAATAATTTTTTATTAGGAAATAAATGTTCTTAAATATTTTAAATATCATAGTTATGTTGTATGTTTATAAATAAGTAATCACATTTTAATTATATTTTATTTTCTGACTATATTGTTATAAAATTATCGTTAATATTTTATTAATAAATAAAAAAATGTCATTTACTGTTATTTTTAAACAATAAAGATATTATTGTATATTTTAAACATATATATTTATAATTTTTTTAATATCTTTTATATCTCTAATCAAATCCTAGTTTTTAAATTTGTGTCATTCAATGTTACCATCATTTCCAAGTCAATTGATTCGCATTCTCGAGGAATCGTCAATTCCAAGAGGAATCAAATTTCTCTTCGCTATGGTTAATTTCCTCGATTTACCAGTCCATTCGATTTGCAGCAGATGCAAGATGGCTACCGTTTCATTTCCGGCAGGAGTAATTATTGACCGAAATGTCACTGTGTTGACCTACATAGCCATAGAATTATGATTGCATTTTCATAAAAAGTTATCCAAGATATTCTAATGATTTGTTTAGCAAAAGTTTTAATAAAGATTTTTAACAAAAAGATACAAAAAGATATAATTTAATTATAAAATTGATAAATACAAAGGGTATATAATTTATATTTTTATATATTTAAGAGTATATATGATTTACATAAATTATATATTTGTGTATATATATATATATATATATATACAATATATAATTATATAATACATATATACTCTTTATATATATATATATATATGAAGTATATATTTTTGTGATTCAACTACACTTTGATTAACAAGTAATACTTTTCGCAGAATATCTGTATTCTAAATTTTATTTGATAAAAAGAATATAATGGCGAATGAAATTGAAAGGATATGTTCCTCGATGAATGTCTTTCTTACGATAATATACATATATCATAGTGGCTTGGCGCGATTACTCTCGCCACCGAATAAAAGCGAGGAGAAACGCGAAAGATAGTGTCGCTCATAAAAAAGGGCGAGACCCATATCCGGGACGAGAGCCACTATCGATCGATATTTCACAACGGAATGAAAATCGAAGTAGGTACTTAGAGGAGGGACAAAGTACGCAATACGCAAAAATTTTCGAACAAGTTTTTATGGTGCACGAGATTCTTACGAGGATCGCGCTACTGAAATCGGTACTATTCTCGAGAGGAATCTCATTGGGATTTCGCTATTTGAAACTCTTATGGCACACCGCGTTTATAGATGCAAGTTCCTCCTTGACTTTTCGCCAATGGAGATTGCGATAATGTTTTCTTCACTTCGCAGTGTATTCTATGATCGTAAGAAGTCATGATATTGGACGTGATACTATTAGAAAGCAATCTCTACTTTAAAATTTTATTACTTTAACAGAGATTACGATGTATAAAGTTTAATACAGCAAATACAATAATAATAAAAGTACGATTAACGTTTACATTAAAGAAAAACACATTGTTTTTATATATAAATATTCAATCTTTAATAAACGCAAATAATTTAATATTTAAAGTTAATTTTAATAGTTTGAAAATTTGATGATCTCGTCTCATAAACATACATATACATGCATACGCTGTTTCTTTAAAAAAAAATAATTATTTTACTTCGTTATATAATTTTTTACAAATTTAATGAGTTACAGCTTCTAATGTTATAATTTACTCAACTTGGAAGAGACAAATAATTATATAATTATATATAATATAATTAAATTGTAATTTAAAACAAAGTAATTGTCAAAATGTTAAGAATTAATATTTATACATTTTTTTTAAATATAATATATAGCCTCATTTCATGAATATATCATGGATATTTTGCGACATGTCTAATTACGCTACCAACTCAGTCGGATATAAAATATTGAAAAGTTTCATCACGTATAGAACGTTACGTGGAGACGTCGCAACTATGCGACTCATCAGAGCACATTGAGCACGACATGGGACGCCGAGCGGAAGTGTTTTCTCTGTTTAAAACGGTCCTGACGGTTGGGCATCACGTGTTGGATATTCAGAAAATTACATGCGCGTATACGCGGTTAATATATATATATATATATATATATATATATATATATATATATAAAATTACATGACAGATGAAAAAAATAATGTGTAAAAATATAATATATCTAACAAATATCTAACAAAGAGCATTTTAATAGAATGGCGATTTGCAGCACAGAAGATTCTCAGCGATGATTGTCAGCAAATTTACGATTTTCAATAAAGTAAACAGAAGAAAACAATTTATTCATAAATTATGTAGTATGCTATATATAACGGCCGATTAACCGTAAATTATTAAATAATTAATTAGACAAATTTTATGTTAATTATTGAATGATATGAATTTTTAGAGAATTAAGTTAGTCTACAAAAAAGAGATCAAATTAGATCAAATTTGCCAAGAAGAATCCATCTAATATTGAAATCAGAAACGCTCTGTGATATCCTATATGCCCGTTACGTACAAAGGGTAGCATATCGAAGGGCAACGCTGCTTCATGAATACTGTTGTAGTCATGCGCGCGTTCTTGTAGAAGTTATGCTTGTAGGAATATACGCACCGACGATAGCTGTCCCGGCTCCATCTCCAGCATAAATCACCAGCAACGGCTTACACAAAAACGCGGAAGAACCATATATAATCGTTTTGCTTTCTTCACATCCGATTTTCGTGACTCAGCTCCTCTTTTGCGTACCGGCTGTGTTGTTGTCTACAACACAGCGATAACGTGTTGAAAGTGAACTTTCAAAGTTCTGCTATCTTTAAATATGCTTATCTTTAAATAAAATTTATATTTTATTTATATCTTGTATACTCGTACTGTAAAGCCATTTTTATTTTTAAATTTTAAATATTTATATATGCAACTAGAAGTAAATTTAGTTTTTTTTATATATCTACTATTCTCTATTTTTTTTATTATTATTTAAGTATAATAACAGTAACAGTATATAATAATTATAATAATTTTGAAATAACATGTATGTATACAGATTTAGTTTATATAAATTTTTTATATTCTAATTGAAATCCTTTTATATCCTACTTGAAATCTATTTGAAATATTATGTTTATTATATTATTTTATTTTGTGAACTTCATATTTCTTAGTGATTATAAGATTTTAAATAAAATAAAAGACTAATTTAAAAAAAATATATTATTTTAAATAAAATATATTTTTAAAAAGATGCACATTAATTTTTATTTATATTTCTATTTGTTTCGCATTAAAAAAAGTTATGTAACTAATATTTACATAAAAATAGGCATGGCGAAATTTTGCAAAGCTAAGGAAGAGTGTCAATGTTACTTTTGTGCGTCAGGATAAAATGTAACAGCGATACGAAAATCGACTAGGATGCATTGCTCACAAAGGTATTGTTGTGCGGACGACTTCATGTCGTTGGTTTTTTTCTTTGTATTGCTTCTTTTTCTTTTATTTCTCGGTTATTCGACATTGTGTTTCCGGTATAGCTTTACTATTGCGAGGTTTTACAGTTTTTCAATTTGCTTCCAACTAATCGCAAGCCAACTTTGGAAAAAAGAAAGACTGCAGAAAATAATACAAAGATATACTATTCACAGTAATATAAAAATATTTGGAAAATTTATTGATATTTTTTATATTTTTTTAGTTAAGTTGCATTATTGTTAGACAATTTCGCTAAATATATATTTGTGTGTATTCTTTATTTGAATAATTTATTAAAAAATTAAAGCTAATTCTATTAATCTATACAATTAAATACATCTATAGAAAATTAAGTGATAATAAAATAAATGTGAAATGATTTTTATATTAACAAAAAATTCAAACAATCGAAAAACGTATGATTTTTATTTTCATTTACATTTGAGGTTAATACCATTACTATCAAGAAGGTTAGAGATTAAATATTATACAGGATTTCATTGAGAAAAATGTCTCCTATCATAAAATTTCCTTGGATATTAAAAAATCTGAAGTTACCTAAGCAGAATTTTGCACAGAATCAGTACGATTGCGGACAGAATTGGAAATATACTTTGAAAAAATTTGCGTTTAACTGGTCGGGATACAATAAATATGGGCTTTATACACATGATATCATAGATGAGACTTATCCTTATATAAAAGAAGCATTGCGTCGAATACCAAAGGATATGCACGATGCCAGAAATTTCAGGTAATATATTATAAATTTATTGTTGGTCTGTAATAATAAGAAAAATGAAAATTCTCTTCATATAAATAATTGCACAAAACAATGACAATGTAAAAAAAATATAATTATAAATCTTTTTATGTACATCATAAATGTACAAGAAAATAAAACATCTTTCTCTTTTTCTAATTTACAGTTTACAAAATAACTACATTCGAATTTGGTTTCATTTTTATAAACTGAGCTTAAATTCTATTTTTATCCTATTTTTTAGTATTTATGTTTTTAAATATCCGATATAAAATTTTATTCACAATACTTTTGGAATTACACATTGATTTTTTAAAATTCATAAAGGATAGCTCATTTGTCGGACGAGAACGTTTTTTTTATTGCGCTTTAAAGAATTATAAAAGCGTTTCTTTCATTATTTTATAAATATGTTTAAATATAATCTCTTAATCTCAAGATCTCTTAATTGAAGATTTGATTGCTGTTAAAAAAAAGATAATATTACGAATAACTTTTGATGTAAAACTTGACAAATTGTTATATTTCCATTCGCGGGATTCGCGGAATTTTTAAAAATTGATCCCAAAAGTTTATATCCTTTACAAAGTAACAAGACAGCGTTCTTTTTTTTACATTTTATTTTACATTACAAGTCCTAGGAATATTATTTTGCGATTATGCAATTGATTTGTCTGTTACACTAGTTCGATGCTTCTTGAAGAAAAGCATGTAATAGTTTTGCATACTTTGCAGGATCATACGCGCTGCGCAGCTGAATTTCCTGAAGATATATCTACCCAAGGAGAAATGGGTCACATACGAGCAGGATATAGAGTATCGATATCTTAGACCGTATATAGAGGAGATCCAAGCTGAGCAAGCGGAGATAAACGAATTTGGTTGCAATTACAATTACAGTGATAATGATTGCCCAACTGATGAAATGAAATAAGAGAACAGATTTCTACAGTTCTCTCGATATCTTTTGATATATTGGCAAATATCATTACATGGAATGATGTTTATAAGTTAGTCTCATGTGAATTCTATGTCAGTGCTAGACAATTTGTTGACAATAATTAATAAAAATGTAATTTTTTATATACATACATAAGTTTTAAAGAATTGAAACTTAATTGAAGAGAAATTATTAAAATAATGCAATATGTTAATGTACTGCCGATGCAAATTTTCTAAACTAATATCACAAATAAAAATATCCTGTTATAAACATTTGAGAAATTAGCAAGCAATAAATTAAAATATTTGATCGTTGCATATCAAATTTATTTTTTATCTCTTTCTTACTTTTTAATTTTGTTCCTTGCAAACTTGACTTCAATTATTACTTCTAGAACTAAAGATGATTAGGAAATGAACGTTACCGTTTCAACCTGCAAGTGTAGTACTAGTTGTTAGAAGTGCAACTTCGGGATTCATGAACTAAACGGACGTGAAGGACTGATCGGTTGACTGATTCTCAAACATCGGACGCAACAGTTAACTATTCTGTAATGGTTTGCTTACATTGCGGTTATATCATATCTTGCAATTTTTAAGAAAACAAAATACTCTGTTAGCAAATATTAATATACTACATCTTTATTATACGTATATCATACGTATATCATGTTATTTTATTAAATAATCAATAAAATTATTAATAAAATTATTAATTATACAAATGTTTTTAAA